CTGCTGCCGCCAGCTGCCCTCCAGCAGGCTGTTCCTGATGCCATCCCCCTTGCTTTCCCCCCACAGCTGATGCCTGCCGTGATGAGAGCCATGAAGGGCCGGTCAGCCCGGCACTGCCTGACCCAAGAGCTGAACCTGCACGTGCAGCAGAACCGGGCCGTGCTGGACCACGAACAGTTCGACTTTGTTGTCCGCATGATGAACTGCTGCCTGCAGGTGCAGGCACCGGGGGTTGGGGGCAGGGAGGAGGTAGCACATGAGCTTCACTGGGGCCTTGTGGCAAAGGGCCCTTCCCTGGGGCTGCCATAACCTCCCCTTCTGTCTCTCTGTGGCAGGACTGCACAGCCGTGGACGAGCACGGGATCGCAGCAGCGCTGTTGCCACTCGTCACTGCTTTCTGCCGTGTAGGTACCCACAGCACGGCCAGGGCCCAGCCGGGAGCATGGCCAGAGCTGGGCAATGGACCCTGGGTGGTCTGGTCATAGCCGGTGCTGGGAAATTCCTGGGAACCATCCATCTCCCCAGCCCCAGGATCAGCAGCAGGAACTGTCCCTCTTTTCAGCAAGGGCCAGATCTTTCCGGTTCCAGCTCTGGGGGACCTCACCCACTTGGCAGGGTGGTGGGGCAGGGGCATCTCTAGCCTCACTGTCCCAGCTGGGGGTAGATCTGCCCCTGCCCAGACTCAGGCCTGGAGGAGATGCCCAGCTCCCTTGGGGGTGCCAGGGACTTCCTGCCAGGGCTGGCTGGGCCCTGAGCCAGCAGGCAGGGTGGGAGGGCTGCAGCTCCATGTCACAGGGTGCCTGTGTCCCGTCCCAGGCAGAGGGGTCGGCACGCAGGAGAACTCCTCATTGTGCCCCTCTCCCTCCTGATTCTCCAGAAACTGAGCCCGGGCATCACGCAGTTTGCCTACAGCTGCGTGCAGGAGCACGTGGTTTGGACCAACATCCAGTTCTGGGAGGCCATGTTCTACTGTGACGTGCAGAACCACATCCGCGCCCTGTACCTGGAGAGCACCGAGGAGAACCACGCTGGCGAGGTGAGCTTGGGATCCTGCGTGCTGGTGCCTGGTGTGGATTCCCCCCCTCCACACTTTAGCAGAGAACTGACCCATGCCCCCCTCCCACGTAGGAGGGCCAGGAGGGGCAGCGAGCGGAGAAGGCGGCCCTGGAGATCGCGTCGGAGCAGCTGCGACTCTGGCCCACCATGAGCCGGGAGAAGCAGCAGGAGCTGATCCAGAAGGAGGAGAGCACCGTGTTCAGCCAGGCCATCCACTATGCCAACCGCATGAGCTACTTGCTGCTGCCCCTCGACACCAGCAAGAGCCGCGTGCTGCGCAGCTCTGGCCTCGGCGACGTTGAGAGCGTCAGCAACAGTTTCGTCACCAACAGGTGCCACGTGCTGGGCCGGGGCTGGGGCCTGGAGCTGGCAGGGGCTGATGGCTGTGCTGAGCTGTGGCCAGTGCCCGGGGGCAGGCCAAGCTCACACTCCCACGCTTCCCCACATCAGTATTGCCGGGAGTGTGGCCGAGAGCTACGACACGGAGAGCGGCTTTGAGGATGCCGAGACCTCGGACGTGGCCAGCTACGTTGTGCGCTTCATCAACCGCTTCGTGGATAAGGTCTGCACCGAAAGCGGTGTCACCAACGAGCACCTCAAGGGGCTGCACATCATGATTCCTGGTGAGCGGGGCCCCGGGGGGGTTGGTCACAGGCGCCTGGCTGCTCCTCTGGCCTCGCCAGAGGTCCTCTCCAGAGCAGGGGAGGACTGGGGGCAGGCAGTCCCTGCCACGGGCTAGGAGCTGGGGACAGGCAGCAGTGTTGTAGCAGGGCCACTCCCGGGGCCCCCTGTACTCATATTGGGTCTCGCTGCTCCACAGACATCGTGCAGATGCACATTGAGACGCTGGATGCCGTGCACAGGGAGAGCAAGAGGCTCCCCACCACGCAGAAGGTATGTGGCTTCCGCCTGCCTGTGCAGGGGCTGCTGCCAGCCCCCTTCTCCGTGCCAAGGGGTCACACTGTGTGCTCTGGCCCATCCACACTGCCTGGCACCTGACCCCTCTGCCTACCAATGCCCCCTCCCACGTGTCCCCACAGCCGAAGCTGCTGCGCCCCAGCCTGCTGGTGGGCGAGGAGTGCGTGATGGAGGGGTTGCGCGTGTATCTCATGCCCGATGGACGGGAGGAAGCCACCGGCCAGAACAACGGGGGGCCTCCACTGCTCCCTGCGGAGGGGGCTGTCTTCCTCACCACTTACCGCATCATCTTCAAGGGCACACCCACGGACTCGCTAGGTAGGGCCCCCCGCCGCTTCCCTCTGCCTCAGCCTGGGGGGCTTGGGAGTGTCTATCCCAGGGGGTGGGGTGCACCATGTCACAGGGGCCATTGACTCTGCTCCAGGCTGCTTCTCTCCCATGCTGCCACCCCTGGGCACTGTTTGGCGCTTCGTGGAGCCCCAGCGGAGCCAGGATGGAGCTACAAATATCGCACTTGTAGCTTGGGACAAGGCAGCAGAGGGAGACGTCCTTCCTTTGCACCCCAGGCTTCTGCGGGGGGGCACAAGGCACCCATCCAAGGCAGTGCTTGCAGTAGCTTCGGGTCCTCCAGGCTGCTCCTTCCATCTCCAGCACCCACAGGCCTCTCCCCTGGAGCAGGCCTGGGAGATGCCAGGGATCTGGTTGGCAGCCTAGCGCTCCTGGAGAGCCCCAGGGCCATGGCCAGCAGGTGCTTCCCTTTTCCCACGGGTGCTGCTGACACGTCCTGTCTCTCCCCCCTTCCCTCCTGCCCAGTGGGGGAGCAGGTGGTGATCCGGTCCTTCCCCATTGCCTCACTGACCAAAGAAGAGAAGATCAGCATCCAGGACAAGATCCAGGAGAAGGATTCGTCCATCCAGGAAGGGCTGCAGCTGCGCTCGTGCACATTCCAGGTGAGCCACAGACCCCGTGGGAGGAGAGTGACTCCTTGGCTCAACCGGGGGGGTCACCACAAGCCTGGCAAGGCCACGTCTAGCCCCCAGCCCGGGTGACCCCAGGACTGAGAGTGCAGCACAGGCTGCTAGGAGCTAGGGCTCTGCTGGAAACCTGGTGGGGCTTGCAGTTGAATCCTGCAGCTGCCCCCATCCAGCTACAAGGGTGGTGGGGAAGGGGAGGCATGGACGGGGTGGGTGTGGGGCTGGAGCTTCCACCTTGGGATGCCCGTCAAGTGCCATCCAGCACCTTTGGGCTGCAGCCGAGGGGGGACGGGGAATCCCATGCCCGGTGGGGAAGGGTTGGCCCTGCTGTGCCTCAGCCCACCCTGCGCTCACCCGCCCGCAGTTGTTGCGGATCGCCTTCGACGAGGAGGTGGCTTCAGAGAGCGCTGAGGTCTTCCGGAAGCACCTGAACAAGCTGCGCTACCCCCAGCACGTCCGCGGCACCTTTGCCTTCACCGTGGGCCAGTCGCCCAAGCAGGCCATGCAGCCCAAGGCCAAGGAGAAGAACCCCTCGATCAGGTACCCGCAGCGGCTCCCAGGCAGAGGCCACGCTTTGGGGTCCCAGCTTCACACCCCTTGCTGAATCAGCTCAGCCAGCTCCCTGCCACTTGTCTCTGCCTCCCTACTCTCCGGGATCTCATCTCGTGGTTTCCCAACCTTTCCCTGTCTATGGAGCAAGATCCAAGGGGCAGTCGACAGCCAGGAGAGTCTGGTCTGGCTCTGAAGGAACAGGGCAGCTTGGGGTGCAGGGACCCCACTCCCAGCCCGTGAGCAAACAGTGCTAGCATCTATGGGGCAGGGGCAGGCCTTGGAGGAGCTTCTCCGTGAGGGAAGGCCTCAGCTCTGCAGCTTGGGGTTCACAGCGGCTTCCAGGGGTGAGACAGCTCCTGTGTGGCAGGGTCCCAAAGCCATCCATGCCCCGTGGCTGGCTGGTTTGCGGGTACCGGGCTGTGTCTCAGCCTGTCTCCTGTGTGTTTGTGACCCAGCTCCCAGCAGGTGACCGATATGTTCCAGGGCCTGACCGTGGGGGTCCTGTCCCTCGGGCACCTCAGCCACTCAACCACGTAAGACACCTTGACTGGGCGGGGGCTTGCAAGGTGGCACTGGCTCGAGGCTGCAGCCTTCACTGCGCTCAGGGCTCCCCTGTGCACCCGCGCTGCATGCTCCGGGGCTTGGGCAGGTGTAACCCTGTCCTCACGCTGTGGGTGCAGGCTGGACGCAGAGCAGATCCTGTGGTGCCTCTCCATGCTTGTCATGGAGGTGCTGGGACCCCTCGGGTCCTCGTGCGCTGTTCCCTGCGGTCACAGGACAGCCCCATTCAGAACCTCGTTGCTCCCTGTCTTCTGCCTGTCTGGTCTCTTGCCTCCCTGCAGCTTCTGGACGGATGGCTCTAAAGCCATCTCCAAGTCCCCTCATCTCCCAGCCCATTTCTCTTGTTCTGCTCCTCACATTCTCCTCCTGCCGCCATCCATCATGGACACGTGTATCCACAGCTGCTCTTCCCCCCTCTTCCTGTCTCAAGATGACAACGACCCCGTCCCCCCATTGCTCTGCGCACCCTTCTCTGCAATCTTCTTGAATGCATCTCCTTGACCGAGGGTGACTGGGACAGTGCTGTGTCCTCACACGGGCCTTGCATGTGGCCCTTCCTCCGCCAGGCTGCAGCTAAGAGTCACGTCCGTTCTTCTCATGGCCGTGCACTGGTCTCCCACTGCCCGTCTCAGGATGGCAAGGGGTCGGCACGTAAGCAGGTTACACAGATTTAATAGATTTCATAGACATTAGGGCTGGAAGGGACCTTGCGAGATCATCTGCTCCAGCCCCCTGTCCAAGGGGCAGGAAGTCAGCGGGGGTCAGATCACCCCAGCAAGATAAGCATCCAAGCCTTTCTTAAAGGTATCCAGAGTAGGTGCCTGCACCACTTCTGGGGGGAGTCTATTCCAGACTCTGGAGACTCAGACTGTAAAGAAGTTTTGCCTTGTGTTCAGTCTAAAATGGTCTTGCAGGAGTTTGTGACTGTTGGACCTTGTCTTCCTTTAGGGTGCTCTGGTGAACAGACGTTCCCCGAGATCCTGATGTACACCCCTCATGTAGTTATAGGCAGCCACCAGGTCACCCCTGAGCCTGCGCTTCTCCAGGCTAAAGAGTCCCATGGCTTGCAGCCTCTCCTCATCAGGCCTGTTCCCTTGCTCTCTGATCATGCACATGGCTCTCCTCTGGACTCTTCCCAGCTTCTCCACATCCTTTCTAACATGTGGAGCCCAGAATAGGATGCGGTACTCCAGCTGTGGCCTCACCAAGGCTGAGTAAAGCGGGAGGATGACTTCTTGGGCCTTGCGTGAGATGCATGGGTAGATGCAAGCCAGAGTTTTATTTGCTTTGCCGGCTGTGGAATTGCATTGGTGTCTCGTGTTCATCTTGTGGTTAATCAGGACCCCCAAGTCTCTTTCGGTCGCAGTGCTAGCAAACTTAACACTGCCGAACCCGTAAGTGTGATGTGGGTTTTTTCTCCCGAGGTGCAGCACCTTGCATTTCTCCATGTTGAATGTCATCAGGTTTTGATCTGCCCACCTTCTGAGTCTGTCCAGGCTGGCCTGAATTGCAGTCACGCTAGACAATAGGATAGCACTTCCCCATAATTTGGTGTCATCCACAAACTTGGCCAGTCTGCTTCTGACGCCTGAATCCAGATCATTAATGAATACGTTAAAGAGTACTGGTCCGAGTACTGAGCCCTGGGGAACACCGCTGGTCACTGCACGCCATATTGACTCAGTTCCATCGATTGTCACTCTCTGGGTTCAACCCCAGGGCCGGTTCCCCAGCCATCGGACCGTAAGATTGTCAAGGCCACAGTTCCCCAGTTTTACCCTGAGGACATCGTGGGAGACCAAGTCAAAGGCTTTTTTGAAATCCAAGTTGATGATATCAACCTCTTGTTCTTTGTCCAGGAGATGCGTCACCTGGTCATAGGAGGAACTGAGGTTGGTCAGGCAAGACCTACCCGCAATGAAGCTGTGAACATTGCCTTCCATTAGCTGTTGGTGGTTTCTTTTGATGATTTTTCCCAAGATCTTTCCAGGGATTGAGGTCAAACTGATTGACCTGTAGTTCCCTAAATCTTCCTTCCTTCCATGCTTGGAGATAGGTACTGCACTGTCCCTCTTCCAGTCTTCAGGAACCTGACTTGAGCGCCATGAGTTCTCAAACATCTTCGCCATTGGTCGTGCTGTGATGTCAGCCAATTCTTGCAGCACTCTTGAGTGCATCTATCCGGGCCAGCTGACTTGTGGATGTCCAGCCTCTCAAGCTGTGCCCTCCTCACAAGATCTTCACCAGTTATAGGCGTATAATTGCCCATACCCTAGTAATCCTGTGCCCTGTCAGGCAGGGCAATCTCCTTGGGCTGGTGGAAAACCGATGCAAAGTAGTTCTTGAGATTAGCTTTTTCCTGGGTGTCGGTTGTCAGCTGCCCCATTTGGTTCAGCAAGAGTCCGATGTTGCCCTTGTTTTTTTTTTCCGACTTCTCACATATCTGAAGAAGGACTTTTTATTGTCCTTGATTCCCGTAGCCAGTTTGAATTCGGTTTCAGCCTTGGCTCTTCTGGTTCCCTCCCTGCAGGTGCAGGCCAGTGCTGTGTAATCCTCCCTAGTGGTAGTTCCCGACTTCCATCCGACTTATACGCTTCTCTTTTCAGACTTAGGAGGTCCATGAGTTCCCTATTAAGCCAAGGAGTCTCCCAGTCCTTTGCTGTCTTTCCTATGGGCCAGAAGGGACTTCCCTTGTGCTTTTAGGATTGTGTCCTTAAGGAACGACCACTCATTGTGGACTCCCCTCCCTTTTATAGGTGGCTTAGTGGCATTACTCACCTTAACCATCACCCTTTGCTCTCTGCTGTCGGTCAGGTGTGTGTCCACAGACACCCTTGTGGTGTGAGGTCTGTCTGGTCCCCAGGCCCACGACCGCTTGTCCTTGCAGTCCCAAAGGTTTCTAGGTGTCACCATAAAGGATCAAACTGCCCCTTCTTTGAGAAGAGCTTTCCCCTCCCCTTCGAGACCTCCCAAGTAGCAGCTTTATTCAGTCTCCTGTTGGGAGGAGCCCGGCAGCCATCCCTGGAGTAGCCCCCTGTAACCCTCCACGTGACGCCCTCCCAGATGCCCACTGCCATTTGGAGCAGATCTCCCAGTCTCCTGTTGTCTCTGTGGCTCTCACCCCAGTGCCCCGCAGCCCAGTCTGACGCTCAAGCTGCCAGGCCGGCAGGTCCCTGGCTGCGGGTCCCAGGTGGTTCTCCCCTCTCTGCGGCGACAGCATTGGCTTGGTTGGTAAATCCATGGGGGCCCTGCTCAGCAGACAGCCCCGTTGTCAGTGCTCAGAGCCCGTTGTGAGCGTGCTCCAGCATCCCGGTCTCCGTCAGGCCTGTGGACATGGGGCTGCTGTTTGGACCGCAGGCAGCCGGCCACTGGATCAGCTCCCCTCCATGGCCCCTGCACTGCCTCACGGCCCTGTGCCACCTGCCTTGTCTGGGCTGGGGGATGGGAGCCCAGGGTTGGGCTTAGCTGTCTGCTCGGCTAGTTCCCCAGTCCCCTCCATGCCCCCTTCCCGGTGGGGAGCTCAGACACTGCCCCGATGGGGGCCATATCTGAGGCCCGTGGTCTGTCTTCTTGGAGAGGTGCTGGCAGGCATCTCCCCCTGTGAGGCCAGGTCAGGGGCCATGGTTCATCTTGCTCCAGCTCTCCCAGCCCCTCCATGTGCCTCATAGTTTCACAGTTTCAACATCTATGCAGGGCTGGGAGAACGTGCCCCTCCTGGGACCAGGCCGGTCTTTGCGCTCCCAGCCGGGGCAGATCGCAGCTGCCCCCGAGCTGTGGGGAAGGAGCAGGGATCGCGTGACCCCCTGCCTGTGGACAGCACCAGGCCTCTGCCTCTTGCCTCTGCTTTGCTCTGGGTGTGACCGAGTGTTGGTGTTTCTCCTTCTAACCCTCTGGGGCCGGGATGGACGCTGCAGCTCCCTTCAGGGGCAGGCTCCGTGGCTGCGCGCGGCATGAGGTCTTGGGCCTGCGCCCACTCACCGTCACTCCCCTTCCAACTCTGCCTTTGCAGGACCTTCTCCAGGAACTTGGTGAAGAACGCCAAGACGATCGGGCGCCAATATGTGACGCGCAAAAAGTACACGCCGCCCACCTGGGAGCAGCGCGGCAGCCAGCAATTCCCCGAGGACAACGAGGACGAGATCTCAGGTGCCCGGGTGGGCAGGGGCCAAGGAGAGGCACGGAGATCCCAGCTCCCGGGGGTTCAGGAGTGGGAGCTTGTGTGGGGAAGTGACCAGCCCCTGGTGATAGGTCCAAGCACGCTGCAGGGCCAGAGGCAGGCAGGATGAGACCCCCTCAGGCCCCTGCTCGAGTCTGCATCACGGCCCAGTCTGGGAATTGGTCACTTCAGCACTTGTCTCTTTAGGGAGGGTTTCCCAGAGCCCTGCACCCCCTACCTGTGCAGACCAAATGGCGTGTGTCCTGCCCCAGTTCATCCCCTCCCACACTACAACTGCCTGTGTGGAAACCTGCCCCCTTCAGTCATCTCTTTCTTAAGCTGCACCTGAAACCTCCCCTCATCGGTGGTGATAAACGCCCTCCTTTTTTTTTTTTTTGCTGGTGTTCAGACCCCCCACCCCAACCCCAGCTGTTCCCCACATCATTATTTCACAGTCGTGGCACAGCTGGGCTGGCGGGGCCTTCACCAGCTCGCGTAGAGTCCAGCGCCCTGCTGCAGGCAAGATCAGCCCTGACTAAACCAGCCCAGCCATGGGCCTGTGCAGCCGCCTCTTGCAACTTCCAAGGATAGAGATCCTACTGCTCCTCTAGCATCAGCCCCCAGAGTGAACATAGGGGCCTGGGGGTTACTTTTGATGACCCCTGTTCCCATGCAAAGCAAATCAACATCAGTTGTCTTCCTGCCTAGAGCTGGGGGGCTGGACCTGCTGATCTGCAAGGTCCCTTCCAGCCCCTAACAATCTATGAATGCACCCGAGAGCCTTGAAGGAGCTGGCAGACATCATTGCACCCCCCTTGGCAGAGATATTTGGAAAACTTGTGGCGCTCGGGCGAGGCCCCGGAAGACTGCAAAAGAGCCAGCATGGTCCCTATCTTCAAGAAAGAGAGGAGGGATGACCTGGGGAATTATAGGCCAATCAGTCTGACATCCGTCCCTGGCAAAATCCTGGAGAAAATTGTCAAGGGATCCATCGACACCAGACTAACAGAATGCAAGCTTCTGAAGGCCATCCCATGCGGCTTTGTGACTGGCAGGTCCTTCCTGACCAACTTCATCTCCTTCAGTGACCAGGTGACACAAGCCCTGGACAAGGGAGGCGACGTGGACATCATATATTTGGATTTCAAGAAAGCCTTTGACCTAGTTCCCCATGATGTCCTCATGGCTAAGCTGGGGAACTGTGGCCTTGATCATCTTATGGTCCAGTAGCTAGGCAACTGGCTACGGGGTCGGACCCAAAGAGTGCTAGTTGAAGGGAGCAATTCAGTGTGGCATGGTGAGCAGGGGAGTCCCTTGGCTCGGTACTTGGGCCAGTACTCTTTAACATCTTCATCAATGATCTGGATTCAGGAGTTGAATGTAAACTGGCAAAGTTCGTGGATGACACCAAATTATGGGGTATGACAGTCGCACCACAGGACAGGCTGGGGATACAGGCCGACTTGGATGCGCTGTCAGGGTGGGCTGACCAAAACTGGATGGCTTCATTGCAGAGAAGTGTAAGGTGCTGCACCTCGGTAGGAGGAACCCCCAACATACTTACAGACTCGGCAGTGCTGCGCTCGCTACCACCACGACTGAAAGGGACTTGGGGGTCCTGATTGACCACAAGATGAATATGAGCCACCAATGTGATGCTCTGGCTGGCAAAGCAAGCCAAACTCTGGCATGCATCCACCAATGCATCTCAAGCAAAACTAGGGAAGTCACCCTTGCACTTTACTCAGCCCTGGTGAGACGGCAGCTGGAGTGCTGCGTCCAGTTTTGGGCCCCCCACTTTAGGAGGGATGTGGAAAAGCTTGAGAGTCCAGAGGAAAGCTACACATGATCCAAGGCATGGAGGGAAGGCCATACAAGGAGAGGCTGAGGGATTTGGGACTTCAGTCTGGAGAAGAGAAGGCTTGGGGGGACTTGGTGGCAACCTACAGTTATGTAAGAGAGGTACATCAGGGCCTGGGAGAACAGCTGTTCACCAGAGCTCCCCAAGGGATAACAAGGTCTAATGGCCACAAACTCCAGGAAGGCTGATTTAGATTAGACATAAGAAAAAAGTTCTTCACAGTGCGAGTGTCCAGGGTCTGCAACAGATGCCCCTAGATGTGGTACAGGTATCAACTCTGGACTCTTTCAGAAAACATCTGGATATTTTTCTTGCTGGGATCACTTGATCCCAGATGGCTTCCCGCCTATGCTGTGGGGGCTGGACCCACTGATCTCATGAGGTCCCTTCCAGCTCCTAACGTCTATGAAATCTATGAATCAAATCTCCCTATAGTCTTCTCTTCTCCAGATTCAGTCCCCCCAGTTCTTCCAGCCTTTTCCCATTGGTCTGGTCTCCCAGGCCCCTGATCCTTTTTATCACCCTGTGCTGGACTCTTCCCAACCCGCCCACCTCCTCCTTGAGGTGCGGGGCCCAGAGATGGACATGGGACTCCAGGGGAGGCCTCCCCAGCGCTGAACAGAGTGGAGGAATCACTGCCTGGGTTTGCAGAGACGCTCCTGCCAGGCAGCTGGTCTGTGGCTGGTCCTGTCTGCAGTTCTGCACACTGGGTCTGTCCCTGCGCTCCTGGCTGGGGCCATTCATTGAGGCTAAAGCTATGCTGCTGGGTCACTGGTGCACATGGACAGGGCCAGGTACTTGAGGCTTCCTCAACAAAGGCAGCAGGACTGGTATATTTAGGTGCACGAGGTCCCCCAGCCATGGGGCCTTCCTGCCCGGAGCATAGAGTAGCCTCATTCGGGCCTCCAGCACAGCCACAGTGATGAGGTCTGAGTGATATCCCATGGGCACAGGGCATCGGCTGGGGCCCATGCCTGAAATCACCCCCTCCCCCCCTGCACAGGCCTGACCCTCTCCCCCCACTGTCTCCACAGTGTCCGAGGAGATGGACAGGAGCACACTGACGCCCTCCACCACCATCAAGCCGTCAGACAAGATGACCATGAGCCACTTGGTGGAGCGGGCCTGCTGCCGGGACTACCAGCGCCTAGGGCTAGGCACCCTCAGCAACAGCCTCACACGCTCCAAGAGCGAGCCCTTCCGCATCTCCACCGTCAACCGCATGTATGCCATCTGCCGCAGGTGCGTCCTGGGGGTGTCCGTGGGGTAAGGGCGTGTGGGGGGCCTCTGTCGGAGGTTGTACCTGGCATGGGGGGTGTCTCCCAGGATCAGGGGCATTCCCAGCAAGGGGTGCAGAGGGATACCTGCATGGGCAGGGGCGATGCCCCATGGGGATAATGGCGGCCATGGACCCACTTCCAAGCTGTGTCTCTTTCTAAGCTTCTGCCAGGCGTCTCCCCTCGTGGCACCAGGCCGGAGGCCATGGGGTTTGCTCTGACCCAGCTCCCTCGACCTCACCTGGCTGCAGCTTGCAGACAGGGTGTGGGTGGGGCCCTCTACCAAACATGGGGAATGGGAAGAGGGTGGCAGGGGGTCTGCGGCACCAGGTATGCCCTACACTGTCCACCCTGGCTGGCCCCTGACAGCCTGCACTCTCTGCCCCGCAGCTACCCCGGGCTGCTGATCGTGCCACAGAACATCCAGGACAACACAATCCAGCGGATCTCACGCTGTTATCGCCAGAATCGCTTCCCCGTCGTCTGTTGGCGCAACGCCCGCACCAAGGCTGTGCTGCTGCGCTCAGGCGGGCTCCACAGCAAAGGCGTCGCCAGCCTCTTCAAGGCCCCAAACGCCCCCACCTCAGGTGCTTGCCCTACCCTGGCCTTGGCCCCCTGACCTGGTGCGGAGGGGGCTGGCATGCTCCTGCCGCTCCCCAGCCTCACGCAGCCACTCCAGGGGCACCGGGGAACGTCCATGGCTGGTGACGTCCCCGTGTCCTCTGGCAGGCCCCTCGCAGACAGACTCCACCAGCCTGGAGCAGGAGAAGTACCTGCAGGCCGTGATCAACTCCATGCCACACTATGCTGACGCCGGGGGCCGCAACACACTCAGCGGCTTCACTTCCGCGTACATGGGCAGCTCAGGTGAGGGGGAAGCCCAGGCAGGCCAGAACTGGTCTCAGGGGAGCCCAGGCAGTGCTGCCTGGCTCCAGCTCCTGCCCCAGGCCACGTTCGAAGCCCAGCATGGCTGGGGATGTGTGTGGGCAGCTGCTGGGGCCCATGATGGAATGGCCAGGTAAGTCCTTGGCCCCTGCGCCGCCCTCTTCTTGCCCTGCTCTCCAGCCCCCAGCAAGCAGGCCAGGGCTATCCCGGCACCCCATCCTCCATCCCCCATCCCATGCTCCATCTTCATTCATTGTCTGTCTGCACCATCCCATGCCCGGCGCAGCCGTGGTAGCGGAGGTAATGCGGCAGGTGCCAGGAGGGGAGAGGAGGCTGCTGGCTGGGATCCCCTAGGCCTGGAAGAGCCTTTAGGGGCCTCCTATAACAGCAGGCTCCTTGCAGCTGCTGCTTCCAGCCCCCTTCCTGGTTTTGGAGGGGCAGAGGGGGTCTAGGACAGCGTTGGGCGGCTCTCCAGCTCCAGCAGCAGGCTGGGGGTGGGCTGCGTCCCTTCCCAGTACACCAGGCCCCGAGCTGCTGGGTGCTGCTGGCCCCGGGCTCCAGCCAGGCCCCAAGCCCGTGTTTTGTTGGTGCTACAGATTCCTGCGACAAGCGTCAGCCCAAGCTGGGAATACTCATGAAGCAGGTGCTGGGAGGGAAGGACGATGGGCCCGGCACTATTAGCCGTGGAGGTGAGGACAGGCGGGCGTGGGGCCCTGGCAGGCAGGCCGCTGCCGGCCGTAGTGTAGACACTGCACCCGGGGCCGGGCACGGACCAGGGGGCGGGGGGGGGGCCGCTTGGAAGCACAGCCCACCAGAGCCACGCCATCCCCTCCACCCATGGCACCACTCGCTCTGTGGCCGCGCGGAGCTGCCTCTCCATCCTGTGCTCTTCCGGTGCTAGGTCACAGAGCTAGGGTCGTCACCCTCTCCATCCCCAAGGGCCCACCGGCAAGGGGCCGCGACTCTCCCCGAGGTACAGTACCGCCCCGTGGCTGAGCTCACGCCCCCGCACGCGCCACAGCCCTGCTCACACAACTAACCTGCCCCATAACCCAGCCCCCCGCGGTTACACGGGTGAGCTAACGAGGCACCCCCTTAATGACCGCCTCTGACAGCACAACTGCTCGTGGATCCCACCCCAGCAGGTAAGTGCCCAGCTTGGCTTGGCTTCACCGTCCACACCAGCCGACTGGCACCTATGGGGTGCATAGAGATCCCCGTGGCGAAGCACAGAGCCACGGTCCAGCCTCTCAGGCGCTGAGGTGGGCAGAGGGCTGTGGGGAACCTGGCACGTCCAACAGCTGAAGCGCCCTGCATCTGTGCGCTGCCGTGTGCACGCGTTTGTGTGTGTATGTGCACGGGTGGGTGGGAGGGAGCGAGATGCACGCCTGACCTCAGCACGAGGATGCTGGTCACGATCTTCTTCCCCCCGCCCCCCCTTTCCAGCAGGCAAGTGGGGCAGCATTCGGGCCAGCGGGCGAGCGAGCAGCTACGCCCTGAACATGGACGTGGGGTCACGCCTGGCTGGCAAGGACCTGCTAAGTGCCCAGCACAATGGGGCACCAGCTGAGGCCAGTTTCCTGCGCCAGCACCGCGCCTCCCTCTACATCATCGGGGACAAGTCCCAGCTCAAGGTACCACCTACGGTTGAGCCAGGCTGAGAGCTGGGGTCGGCTCTGGGCACATGGCAGCTCCACGAGGTGGCAGGGGGAGATCTCCATGTCCCCGTGAAGCCTGAGTCCTGTCGAGCTGACGGTCCATCCCTTCGGCAGGGTGTGAAGCCGGACCCGCTGCAGCACTGGGAGGCGGTGCCCGTCGAGGTCTTCGATGTGCGGCAGGTCAAGGCCAGCTTCAAGAAATTGCTGAAGGCTTGCGTGCCTGGCGTCGTGGCCACCGAGCCTGGCCTCACCTACCTGTGCTCCCTCGAGGAGTCCGAGTGGCTGACCCAGGTCAGCGCCGCCGGGAGTCCTGGGGCTGGACCCTGCTGCCCCACACGGGGCTTGGAGGGATGAGGCTTGTCCCAGCTGGGAGCCAGGGACAGGGCACTAGGCTGGTGCCTGCAGCTGTAGGGGCCTGGATGGGGACCCTCAGTGCAGCTGGCAGAGGCCACACGAGCTGCCAGGCAGGCAGCGAGCACCCTTCCCTGGGTCTGTACAGCAGCAGGCCTGGCCCCTGCTACAAGCCAGCCACGGAGGCTGCCTTCCTCTAGCCCCATGGGTCAGTGAAAGCTGTTGTTTGAAGCGGGCAGGGCCAGGGGCTCTCAGCGTGTGCAGCAATGGGCCTTTTCTCCTTGCACAGGGCTGAGATCAGGACCAAGTTGGAGCAGGACATGCCGGGTTCGGGGGGTGGGGCGGAGAGCCCCGGGGAGCAGGCAGGCAACAGGTGGCTCAAGGGGGGCAGAGGAGAGAGGAACAGGAGCTGGGGCGGAGGGGGGTCAGATGGATGCTGAGGTCCTGGGTCGTGGTAGCCAGAGCAAGTGGCTACTGCAGTGCGCCCAGGGAGAGAGGACAGGGTGAAGGCTGTGCCGGGGCTCCAGCAGCTTTTGGGAAGGGAGAAGAGGAGCTGACAGCTGCCTGCCAGGCAGGGCCTGCAGGGCTGAAACTCCCCTTGCATGGAGCTGCTGAGGCCCTGCCGGTTCTCTCAGAGCTGCCCTGGACCGGGTCAGACCCAGATCCGTTACACCCAGTCTCCGGTGTCACAGGGCAGAGCGCGGAGCTGGATGGGAGATGATGGGGTTCGAGCAGGGATTCCCCTGCTTCTCTCTCCCTTGCAGCCTTTAAGGTCCAGGCCAGTCTGATGCGGAGGCCGTGCCCCTCCCTCCCTGCTCCAGAGCGCCCCATGCCCCTTCCCTCCACGCCCCTGTCCAGTCCCGAGTGGATCTGGCCGAGCTCTCAGCTCCCGCCACAGCTGGTGGCCAAAAGCCCCCACTTCAATGCCACATAGGAGGAAAGAGCAGCTTGGTGTTCATGGTCAACTGACACCTGCCCGGTCCATGCTGTGACCCCTTGTCCTTGTCCGGGGGGAGACGGGCAATGATTGATCCCCAGGGACTTTCTCTTGACCATTTTGTGTGTTTTGACCCCTTCTCCTGCCCCCTCCAGCATCTGTGCCCTGCCTGGGCCTGGCCTCGGGGGTCTCTCCTAGGGAAACCCCTCTGCAGCACTCCTCATCCTCGCTGCCCATCTCTGCACCTGTCTCCTCCCAGGGGTGCAGGGACAGAGCTGGGCACAGCATTCGAGCTGTGGCTGCCCCCATGAATGTATAAAGGGGCATCATGATCCTTTTGTTGCAGTAGTTTTGGCTGTGCTTGGCTGGGGGGTGCTGGGTGTGCCAGGGACTGCTACTGGTGGGTACGGGTGATCTGCGCCCCATCTCAGCCCCCAGCCCAGGGCAGGCTCCAGGCCCCGTCCTTGGCAGTCTCTGGAGGGATCAGGGCAGAGCGATGCCTAGCCAGTGCCTTCTCCCCACTAACCACCCCCCCA